GGGGGGGGGGGGGTGGGGGTTTTGGGGGGTGTGTTTATTTTTAAAGGGGAACTCCCTTAATTTTTTTGGCCTAAAAGCTTGTTCGGGAAAAAACCCCCCCTTCCCCCCCTTCCCCCCCCCCCCCCCCCCCCCCCGCCAAAGGGATGTGCCAACTTGACCTGAAATGCATAGGCGGGCAGCACACCTGCACCTCTGACAACCCGGATGGAGGGAGGGAGCACAGGCCTCAGCTGAGCCCACACAGGAGGCATCCCCCGTGGGCGATGGGTGGGGGGATGCCAGCTGTTTAGCGGAGGCCTGAGCACAGCCTGTCTTACAGTCTCTGTGTTTTGCTCTGGGGCCTCCAGCTTCATGAGAGTTTGGCTAATAACGATTGGGCTCCTGGATGACAGCCCGTGAGGTGGGGCTAAGGGTCAAGGGCATGGCGGTGAGTGAAGGACACACATGTTCCCCGGGAAGGCTGCTGAAGGGACTGAGCCATGTTTCCTGCTCTCAGGGGGAACCAGGAAGGCACTCAGCCAGGGCTAAGTGGGGACTGGCAAAATCTGGCTCCCAGCTTGGGTTTGGCCTCTGATTCATTGGCTCCTTGGCCTCCCTACTCAGATGGGGTGATGGGGGCGGGTGAAGGGACATGCCAACCTACAGGGTCCCTCAGGTGGTCAAGAACACGGTCACCTGGACCAGTGACTCTTATGCTTTCATACAGGCAACCTCCTGGGATCTCCTTCTAGTGGAGACTCTAATTCAGGTCTGTGGCTGGCCCCAGAATCTGCACTGTTACAAGCTCCCAGGTGCTGTAGATACTGCTGGTTCCAGGACTACACTTTGAGCCAGCACCCTGGTTCCTGAGGCCTGGATTCTTCATGAGATTAGCAGGACGTGGGCACGGATCTGGGTCCCTCGCACTGGCCAGGGGCTGGCAGAACCCCGCACACTGAGCCACTTTCCCACCACACTAACCCCTAGTGCCGGGGGCCACAGTGGAACCACACACACAAGTCTTTCATCTGCGTCAGCTCCTCCTGACTCCAGCTGCCACCTCCTCCCACTGGGACACGGGGCTCTGAGGAGCCGGCCCTGCCATCAGCTTTCCTGGCCCTGTCCTGGCCCTCCAGGCTCTGGCCAAGCCCTTGGCCCACCTCAGGAGCTTGGAGCTGTTTCCTGGGTTCACCTCTGTTATCAGGTTTCCTGTCAGAGATCCTGTCCATAAAGCTGAGGCTGGCTGCTCTCTCCCACACCTTGTGAGATTTTGGGGGACCCACTGAAAGCAGAAATGGATCTGCACCCCCATCCCCATCAAAGTGACCCTATGCTCTCTCCTTGGCCAGGACGCCCTGATCCCAGACACCAGGATGTCTCCAAACACATTGAATAAACCACAATCACACTGTGCATATGTGCCAACCCCGAGTTTTCTTTCTCTCTTTATTTGAAGGGCACTGGGAAAGGGGGGCGTCCAACTGGAAAAGCTCAGAAGGTGGAGACCAGCAGGTGTCAATCACGGTCACGTTCCTGGAGTGGGGGAAGGACTGGTACAGGCTGAAAAAAAAAAAAGATAAAGGTTGGAGAAAGAGGAGGGGCTGAGGAGACCACCTCCCAGGGGAGTGACCAGCTGGTGGCTGGAGCCTGAGATGGAATTGAATGGAGGGTGGGGATGGGGTCAAAAGGTACATGAGGGGTGGGCCTGGGTGGGAGTTGGGAAGGCCCAGGATGCTCCCTTTCTGCTGAGGGGACTGAACATGGCTTCAGCCTGCACTGACCCCCCCCCC